CCTCACACAGCTCAGACTTCTCTCCTGGCTCCTGACTGTCCTACAGACACCTCCCAGTGGACACCCTGCCACAAACATGATACAACCAAACTAATGTTGTTTATGCTTCTCCTGTGGTAGATGCTATCCGTGTTCCACCTACATCCCCACCGAGCCCCCTCCTGGTTCTGTGTGTCCCCTCAGCTTTTGCATGACTTGAAGTCTTCCTTGGCTATTGGAACTGCTTCAGCTGGATGTGCCCTAGACCTGGAAGTATCTGGAGCAGCTCATGGCAAATGGCTCCCAGGTACAGGAGGGTGGAAGCCAGTTGCCCAGTCTCAAGGTGGACTCACCACTTCCCCCAGCATCAGGCTGATGCTGACATTGCACCCGATGGCTTCCTCCCCCCCCTCCCCTGTCCCATCCCCACTCCTAACTGATTCCTCCTGGGAGCAGTTCCCTAAGGTTCCTATTGGCGTCTGCTTCTGGGAAAACCCATCAGATGCATCCTCTTCGCCATCCTCCCACCTTCCAGTTAATTCTCCCAGCCATTGGAGTCATGTTTTGATTCGTGCCCTTCCTCCATTCTGCCCCTTTCCAGCTGAACATTCAGTCCAGCATTCCTCCTATGAGACACAGCTCACATCTACCTTCCTTAGCTTCTCACTACAGCCTGCTCTAGTTACTGATCATCTCCCACCATGACTATTGCCATGTTTTCTCCACTTCCATTTTCTTCCCCTCTTAAGCTTTTGAAAACGCATCAGCTCTAAAGGTTGTTTCTCCAAAACAAAGCAAAGCAAAACAAGAATACTGCATTGGTTCCCCACTGCCTTCAGGAAAAAGTTCAAACTCTTCAGGCTGCTACCAGAGGCCTCCTGGTCCAGGCCCCATGCTTCTCCCCATTTCTCTCTGGCCTCATGCTCCAGTCGCCCCACATTATCCGTGGTCTACTTTTCCAGGCTCCCGGCTCCCCTAAGCCAGTCTCCCTGCCCGGGAGACCCTTCTCACCACTTGTGCCCTGTTCAAATCTACCCATCATTCCAGACCCAGAGCAAATGGGACCTTGCAGCCTCCTTCTCCAGAGAGTCCCTGTTAACAAATTCCAGGTGAGAGGTGAAAACTGAGACCCACAGACTTGGCTGGGCATTCACATAATTTGCATATATACTTTACATCCCTGGAGTAGATAAGTTTCTTGAGAGCTGGGAGCTCTTTAGAATCATCTTTGCACAGTGAAGCTACATCACACATGTTTATCTTAGAAAAATCTAACTGAAAGGGAGGAATGTTTACCACTTAAAACGGTGCCAGTTATTCTACTCAGCAGGCAGATGTGCCCCAGAATGGATGTGAGACAGGAGGCGTGGAGATCCTGTTTCCTCAATCGCAGTTCTCACACACCTCTCTAGGTGCAAGCATCTCAGCAGCCTAGGTGTGACTCTAATGAACACTCTCTATAAACCCGAACCAACCGACTTCCCCACGGGGCTCATTGGTGGAAACACCAATCTGCTCTGGTGGTGAAGGAAAACATGCATCGGTCAGGTAGCGATGCTACAATATTACATTTCCTGGGCAATTAAAGAGATTTTCAAGGGCAGTTTTTGATTATATGCATTTTCCACCTCCCAACAGGGCTTCAGAATCCCACCCCCTCCATTAGCTGCAGTTTTGTGATGTGTATCTCACCCCTTAACCCCAAGCCAAAATGTCAACAGGAGTTCACATATGTCCCAGTCCTCTGTACCATATAAGATATTATTGCAGGGGACCTGGACTCAAATGACTTCAATCCATTAGTGATGAAAAACACATCACTGACACCTTGAACTAGCTCTATGTATGAACAATGACAATTCAACAGCTGAAAAATTAATTGGCACAAAGCATTTTTGTACTTACGTCTACCACCATAGGCGACCTAGAATTAAACCCACACTCATGAAACATCAGAAGTGACATTTTAATAACTGACTTCTCTTAGCCATCACGTTTTGAGATCTTTGGCAACTTATTCTAAGGAAAACTGCCCGAAGAAAATGACGGGCAACTTAACTGTATTTAGAATTCAGAGTGAATGCAACAATATTGTCTGTTAAAAATCGCTAAGTGGTCCAAAGAAAGAACAGAGAGACGGAAGCACAAACTCTCTACTTATTCTAAGTATCTCATTCTTGGCTATTCATTCTTGAGTGAGTTTTTAAAGTAACTGACTTTAAATTCAACACATTTAGGATTAAGAACAATTTATAGCTAGATGTGTGATTTGGCCTGCCATCCTAAAATGAAATGGCAGTTATAAGAATTTTCAAAAGAAAAGATCAGGCAATCTTTCATGGATTTAGGAGAAATTTGTCAAAATGATAGAGGGCTCAGAGGAATGTTACTGCACTGAGCTTTGGGAATGACTCATTAATAATCCAGTTAGACTGTCAATGATGCTCTCAAATTACCCCAACTCCACTAGAAAACATTTCATTGTAAGACATATATAATCCTCCCACCTCATGTGCATTAGTCCTATGTTTGTACAAAAGAAACTAGGTCCAAATTAAAAACTACTTCTTCCAGAAACATTTCCTTAGTTTCCTTTCCAGCAGGAGGTGATTTCTCCTTTTCCCAGACTCCCACGGCATGAAGGGAGTATTTTCTCAGTTAAACTGTAGGTACCTGGAAGGCAGGTTCCATGCCCAGGTGAACCTTGCACCTGCACCCTCTACCTTCCCATGAAGTACAGCTCCTAGCATGTCCCTTACAAAGAATACAAGCTCAGTAAGTGTTTGTGAGTAAGTGAATGAATGAATGAATGAATGTAAGCTTGTATGGCTCTGTTCTTTTTCCTGGTCTTGCTGTAGACCCTAAAGCCTAGTTATTTGCAAAATGCTTTATGTTCACCTTTCAAACACATTAAAGTTGATATCTGAGTTTCAAGTAGTCATCCCATGGTGATTCTCGCTAATGAACTTGATCTGGACTGACAGTAATCTAGAAAGTTTATCTGCACCTCCTTCAATGCGGTCTACTTACAAAATATTAACCAGGCATTTACTTCCTCTTGGAAAGTGAACTCACTTCATTTAACAGCATCTACAGCTGTCAGAACTTTGGCAGTCTTTGTGAAAAATATCATCTTAACTGTCTGTATTAAAAATTAATCACATGAGGTTTATTTTGTTTTGTTTCTACTAAACTCCCTGCAGAAAAGGTTCTGTTGTGGGACTTTTTTGATTGTTTCATTTTAATAGTGTGGGGTATTTTCCTCATGATGCAAAAATATGGTTATTGCATTTGCTCAGAGAGAAAGTGCCTGTCCTTTAAAATTACACTGTGCAATGAGTGCTTGCTTTCCCTCTCCTCCCACGCAGTACCCACAGGGAATGGAAGGGGGGCAAGCTCTCTTGGTCATTTTTGCCATTCCCACTATCATACTTGGTAAATTACCAAGCTTTGGCAACTTCTTTAAAAAAACAACAACAGCAACAAGGTGGGGGGCAGTTTCAAAGACGACCCAGTACAAAGTTATCCAAGGAATTTCTTTCAAGTATCTGCTTCTCCGGGAGCTGGAATGTTCATTAAAGTCATCGAGGCAGGTAGTCTAGGCACTCTGGACTAGAGTGAAGTCAACCCCAAGGAGAATGCCATCTTCTCTTTCCTGAAAACCCTCCTGCACACCAGTGTCTCATTCTTTTTAATAGCCTGACCTACTTTCCTCTTCTAGAAAGGGAGCTCATTAGTGACCTTGACAAATACCTCAACATCTGGGTCTTAACTTCCTCACCTTTAAAATGGAAATAAAAATAGTATCTATTTCATAGGCTGCTTATGAGGATGAAACGACACTCATAAAGCCTGGCACACAGCGAATGCTCAATAAACGTGACCTACAGTCATCATGCTTGTGTCCAACGTGTCAGTGGAATCTGAAGCCACTAGGGCTCCCCGAACAATTTCCTCTTGTGACTGACCCAGATATTGACCCACAGCCAATCAACATAAAGAAACGAATTTGCCAAAAGGGCAGATGTTTAAAAAAAAAAAAGTTTCACTCTACAAATACCATGGTGATTCTGGACATCAGCAAAGATGCATGCCATCTTTCACTTCAAATTCTAATGCATGTGACTCGAACCAAGAGCCCAGACCTTGATCAGCCATGAAAGACTAAGAACTCTGCCTACCAGCAAAGAGGAGCCCATCCTAGTCTCACAGCCTCCCGCCTCCAGCTGTCCCTCCTGAGCTCACCAGCCCAACGTTTGTCCACCTGGCAAAGCATCTTGTAAAAAGAGAATTTTAAAAATATGGCCCATGTTGCCATTCCTCCCATGATAGATTGCCAAAGGACAGATCTGTTTTCCTCTGCCAGGCTTTATTTCAATTTTTATTTTTGCAAAGTTTTCTATCCCACCTTCATTGTTTAAAAATTACTTAAAATTAATATTTATTGCTCCTTTTGAGAAACCAACCTCCATCTCTCTTTTCCTAATTAGATCCAATAAAAATATAGTGAGAGGAAGCATTCAATGGGGCACGCCATTCTGAAAAACATCCTCAAAGCCTCGAAAATCTAAATCAAGACCAAATCAATTATAGCACTAGATTCAGGTGGGTTTTATTTATTCTACCAATAAAGAGACAGAACTTATGGTGGGCTCCAAACGGTCAAGTGTGTCTAGACTTCAAGGAAAGACATTAAGTTTGTATGTAGCCTTTAAAAAATTAGTGTGTTTTCCAGCCATGCGTTTCAGACTATAGTATTATACTTTAACTAGCTGCATCATTCTGGGAATACACCTCTTCAGAGGGGACATTTTCGTAGCTGAGTTTAATCCAATTAATTAAAGGAGGGAAAGGGTGTAAAATGGAACTCTACTTATGCAGTCAGGCATGGACAGTCACAGGACACTAGGAAACTTTTCTCTGGTTGTCCAATGTTTTGCCTTACCTGTCAGAGGGCAGAGGCCCTATCAACACACATCAAGCACTTCATGATGGCAACTATTCAACCTCGGAGGCCTTACCTGTCAGTTTTCTTGATCAGGATGGCCCTGAAGATGTGCTCAAGGGGTGTCTTCTCCTGCTTGTGGGTTGGTTGCACAAAAGGGTGCAGGGCCACCAACAAAAATCCCTGTTGGTACAGCTCCAGGAGCTGGGCGGGCAGGTCTCGCAGGGAGGCCAGCCTCACTGCTGAGGACCGCGGGAGCTCGGCTGGGAATGGAGAGAAGAGAGGCTCATCAGAGACCACCAAAACCGCCTGCCCTACCCCACCCAAGTCCCTCTCCCCTTGCCCTTTCCGAGGACCTCTAGGTCACCTCTTGTTAAAAAATGAGTTGGTTCCTGTTTTAACTACTGTCTTCAGAGAGGACCTATAAGCAGCTGGCTATTTTCCAACTCATCCAGAGACACGCATAACTGGATGTTTTAAAACCTAGAGTCAATTTTCTCAAAAATTACACTGAAAGAGTGATTTCCACCTCCTCAAAAAAAAAAAAAAAAAAAA